GGTTTACCATGTTGTTCAGGCTGGTCTCAACTCCTGACCTCAGGTGATTCCACCCACGCTCGGCCTCCCAAAGTGCTGGGATCACAGGCGTGAGCTGCCGCACCCAGCCTGGAACTGTGTATTCCTTCAGGGTCCGGAGTCAGGTTCATTTTGTCTCCATAATCCCAACACATTACACTTTAAAATCCTAGTCTGGGCCAGGCATGGTGGCCTCCGCCTGTAATCCAAGCACTTTGGGAGGCTGAGGTGGGTGGATCACCTGAGGTAGGAGTTTGAGATCAGACTGACCAATATGGTGAAACCTCATCTCTACTAAATACAAAAAGTAGCCGCGCATGGTAGTGGGTGGCTTGTAATGCCAGCTACTCGGAGGGCTGAGACAGGAGAATTGCTTGAACTCGGGAGGTGGAGGTGCAGTGAGCCGAGGTGCGCCACTGCAGTCAGCTGTGGGGCGACAGAGCAAGACTCTGTCTGGAGGAAAAGAAAAAAAAAAAAAAAAAAAAAGCCGGGTGTGGTGCCAGGTGCCTGTAATCCCAGCTACTTGGGAGGCTGAGACACGAGAAGCACTTGAACCCGAACCCAGGAGGTGGACGTTGTAGTGAGCCGAGATCACACCATTGCACTCTGGCCTGGGTGACGAGCGAAACTGTCTCAAAAAAAAAAAAAAAAAAAATCCCAGTCTGTTACGCAATAGCTTTGGGGAATTATTTTAAAAATTTTAATTGTTCTTGTTGTCTCCCTTTGAAGTGACTGCTACTCTGGTGAGTTAATCTGCTGCATCTCAGCTAAACCAGTCACAGTTCAGAAAATCTAGGCAGGAGCCACCTGTACTTACCTCACCATTGTTTCTCCAGGTGCAGTTAGAGCGGATCCGGCAAGCAGACTCCTTGGAGAGAATCCGGGCAATTCTGAATGATACTAAACTGACAGACATTAACCAGCTTCCTGAGACATGACACCCTGATGGCAGGATTCTAGCCTGCACTTTGGGTTTTTAACTCATCTTTAGAGCAACATTAATTATTATTTAACTCTTAACTGAAGAAAGAGAAGTCACAACAAAAGGAAGACTGGAGAAATGCTTACTTCTAGAGGGAGAAGACTATGCGGCACAGGAAACAGCAAACGGGGTGATCTGCAGCCCAGAGACCTTCAAATGCGAACACTGATAACACCAGGCTTGATTCCAACAGGCGTGGGATCAGATTCGGTGATGGAAAAAGTGCTGTTTCCTTGCCTGCTTTCTCCAACATAGATTTTTGGAACACATTTCCCTACCCTAAAGCGACATCCCAGTAGTGTTTGGAATTTTCTGTTCATAGATATTGGAAGAGAATTTGCTTTATCTGTTGTCTAGAGCTCATCAGTAACAGTATTCAGTTAGCAGACAGAAGTGTAGTATGCTGTATGAATATTTTATATTAAAATATGAAGGTTTGGAGCAGGCCATTGGCTACTGACTGTATTTCCCTCACTCAGTACATTTTTGTTTCCCTTTTACCATTTTATCTTGCTTTGGAGGACATTAAATGCTACTGAAACTTACCTGAGAACCATAGGACTGTGGCAAACAAAACCAATTCAGGAAGTGAATTGATGATGAGGATCTGAAAACTTGGCTAGGGCTATATATACTGGAAGCTGAAGGTTAAAGGAAAAGCACAAGAAACTTGGGAAGCACTTTTTCTGCATACTTAGATGATCTTCATGGGCCCACAGGTACCAGGATAAAGCCGAACTGGTACCATCTACTCTTTTGAAGTGTTTTAGTCTAGTTATTGGATCAGTGAAAAACATTAATAAAACAAGCTTTGTCTGAGAACCTCTAGTATACATTTATAAATCTGCTTATTTTTCAACTTGGATCATTAGGCTTACATACTACTTGTTTCAAATGTGTCAAATACAAAAATGGTAACTAGGTTGACAGATATTTTGTATTTTTCTTTTAAGTCCAGACCTGGAATGTAAGGGACAATGCTTATGGAGAGCCAGTTAGAATACTGATCAGTCTGGAAATCTGCCTTGCCATTTTACAAGCATTAGATTCCTTTCCTGTGCGAAGAAAGCCTCCGTGAAACAGGTCTTTGCCATAACTTTATGAAGTGCTACAGAAAGCACAAAGGATTGATTCACGTTCACCAATACCTGCTGAGAGTACTGTCCCAGGAAGATCCACTGGATGGATCATCATCCAGGAGGTTCAAAAGTAAAATGGTTTTCAAATCATTTTTGAGATTGGTTGCATAACAGTAAGGTACCTGAAAGAAGGCTTCTGGGAGTTAGTGAACTAGGTAGATTGTTTTGTTCACATAAAGCCACCATCAACTTAAAGTGAATTGTCTGTTATAAATGAGGTCACTATGGACTTGCCCTAAAGATCTTTACTCCTGTACGTCTGTCTTCCATAGGACAAATGATAAGTACTACATACCTCATCTCTTGGGTTATTATTGTAGTCTTGCATTCATGATTATGAATTTAAAAATAAATATTAATTATGGAAATAGTACTAAAGGCTTGCCGCGCATGAGACATTATTTAAATTGGTTTGAAGTCCCTTTATAAAAGAGTGCTATATGGTTTAGATAAAGGAAACATATAACTATTGAGTTACAGGGGATTTTATTAATTATAAAATGCAATCAATTTAAATTACGTAGGTTTAAGACTAGTCCCTTGGATAAGCCCCAAGCGAATTTGTCTTCAGATTATTAAAATTAGTGCTGCAAATCAGGGTGGGCAGTTCACAGCCTTTCTGAACTGACTGAACTAGAGCTTGCAGTGAAGTGTTCTGCTGAGACTGAGCACCTTACAGATATTTTTCTCCAGAAGACAGTACTGGGTAATAAAATCATCACAATTAGGGAATGGTTAGTGGTCTCTACTGTGACAAATGCAAACTGCTGGAATTCACTTTATTGAGAAAAATACTGTAGAAAAACCCAAACTGAGACTCTAAGTTTTGTTTCTAACAATGTGCTTCTGGTATGCAACAAACTACTGTGTCACTGTCCAGGTAGGAAACGATTCTTTCCACTGGGTTTTCAGCGTAAATGGGAACTGATTTAGAAGGTGAAAGAAAAGATCAGTTGGGTTTCTTGAGTGTTCCTGTGCTTATATTCAGTCTGTGCACACATGTTCTCATGCATGTCTAACCTGATTTACCTCTTACCTGTAACCTACCTTATCATGTGGCTTTTAATTGGCAGTCACTCAGCCATTTCTAAGCAGGTATAGTACTACCTTTCAGAACTCACATTGGCAAGTATAAAAAGATGAGTTAAGGCGAAGTGAGGACAAAATCACATTCTGCATACTAACCTATTTCTTTTTCTCTCCCTTTAAGGTGCTAAACCTGCACCTCATGTCCACTCAGTAACAAGTGTTAGGAGGTAGAGCACAGCCTCACTCAGCTCTGGAAGGTAATACAGCCTGTGAGGAAGTGAGCCAGCAGTGGCCTTTGCAATTGTGGATCTTGAGCTCTGCTCTCAGCAGATTTCAGGTGTAACCATTTGTTAACTGTACTGAAGGTGTGTCCTTAAGAAGAAAGTGTTCACATTAAAAAAGCTGCTGCCGAGTACACTGTGTGGTCTTTTCCTTTGAATCCTAGGTTCTGTCCCTCTCAGAGTCATGTTTCTGGTGCTGCTACTTTAAAACACAGCTCACAGGAATACCTTGCTCAGATACGGAGAACACTCAACAGGCTCAGGGAGGTTCTGGCCGTGTGCAGTGTGAAATAACCCTGACTCCTTGCTGAACACAACTGTAGGCTTGAGTTATAAAGCACAATCCAAATTTTAAATAAAAACATTTATTCAATAATTATAAAACAAAATATTTAAAAAGATGAACAACCACACCAAAGGTCATCCAAAATGCCTTTTTATAAATTAGATAATGCTACCTGTTTTACAATATGGGTTTAAGCCTTCAGTGGTGTTCACTTCAGGTGTGAGTCAGCTCCTGGTGGTGTCAGAAGTTTACATGATTGCGGATATCATTGATTTGCTTCACCATTTCCCTTATGTGTTCACCCCTGTAAAATTGTAAAGTCACTCACTTTTGGAAATATAATAAACCATTTATATGGATTCTTAAGAATTCAAACTGGTAATGTTGAAATATCTAAGAACTGCTTTGCTAAAATTAACAGCTGAAGGTTTCAGATGGATAGCAATAGTGCTCACTGTTCGTTTAAGGTGGCAAATGGTGCAAGTACTGGAAATACTTTTGAACATAATTACTGTAAAATACCTTTGGCCACACAACAAAATCATGTTACTAGAAGGTCATCACTTTCAATCCTCCCACCATAGTCATTTCTTAAGCCCCTATGTATCATGTGGCTCTCGTCCCAGTAATTACTTGACATGCAAATACCAAGATCCAGGTTTCTATTAAGACAGGTTGACTGGCATACTGTAAAGGAAAAACTATCTCGCGGTAATAGCTGTGACTGGAAGTATTTACTTACTCCTCCTTCAGGATGGACTGAATGCACTTCCGCTGGTAGGCACTGAGAGTAATGGTGGGTTTTTGAAGACTCAACACCTTCTCCATCTTTCGCTGCTGATAGTCCTTTTTCATAGTAACCTTAAGTATCAAAATAGATATTTTGGCAGTGGTTTGCCACACATTTTATTTTTGAATCTGTTCTTTTTACATTTTTGTAAAATTTTCTGTAGAATAAGTGCTTTAAGAAAAATTACCAAATTTAGCTAGTTTGGATCTATTCCTACCTGTTTGATGGCATTGCCCAAATGTCGAAGTTGATCAGGTATCAGCTGTAATTCTTTCTTCATGTCTCGCTCACTATCAGAGAGAACTGGGAGCTCAGAGTGAAAACTGTGAAGTACTTTTTTCATCCTTTAGAAAAGGCAAGCAAACATCTCAAGTTAAGGTCTCTGCTAATTAGGAGAAACATAATCACAAGCTCATAATTCATGAATCTGGTGTCTCTGAAGTAGGCCCCATAAGAAGTGTTAGGGGAGAGCCTCATGTTTTCCCCAACATATTCTTCAGAGGAGAGGTAGGGGGATCAGTTCAATTTTGTAGGTATGTAAGCACCTGCCAATGCCCATTTTCTTAAATATCACTGTTAGTGCCCGAGTAGGTAACTAAACGTTATACAGCCCACTGACCTGTTCATGATATCCTCTTGTTTTTCTTTAGCTTCCTCATATTTGTCAGCTAAACGCTCAGCCATTTCCCGCAGACTTTTCCTAATGATATAAGAAACAAGAGACTCTTGAGGTCCACACCTTGATGTTGAAACCAATTAATGTGGCTCAGCATCTTAGGGTAAGAATATGGTTCCAGTCCTACTGACCTATTGTTTTCTTCTTGTTTTTGACACTTACCTCTCCTCTCGACAATAATTGAGATCTTCTAGTTGTTTCTTTTTTTGGTCACATAATAATTTGACCCTTCAAGAACAAAAAGGAATAGAGTTTACTCAGAAGCCAGGTCTAGGCTATAACACAGCATCAGCTACCAGCCAGGGATCGATGGTTTGTGAGCACAGGACATCATACCTCCGCTGAATCTCCTCCTTGGCCAAGTCCTGTTTGAGAATGTACTGCTCTCTGAACACCTGGGTGGCTCTGCTGAGGAGCTGAAGGCATTCTTCAGGAGGAGGGGCTAGGTCCTTTTCAGAAGCTCTTAAAAACAAAGTTTCTACCTTTATTTTCCTTAGCTGAGTAAAACAACTGAAAATAGACTCAAGTCACAGGTGCTTTGTAAACTTTTTATATTTTTAATTTATTTCTTTGAAATGGAGTCTCGCTCTGTCACCCAGGCTGGAGTGCAGTGGTGCTATCTCGGCTCACTGCAACCTCCGCCTCCCAGGTTCAAGCGATTCTCCTGCCTCAGCCTCCCGAGTAGCTGGGATTACAGGTGTCCACCACCCCACCTGGCTAATTATTGCATTTTTAGTAGAGATGGGGTTTCACCGTGTTGGCCAGGCTGGTCTTCAACTCCTGACCTCAGGTGATCTGCCTGCCTCGGCCTCCCAAAGTGCTGGGATTACAGCTGTGAGCCACCGTGAGTCTTGCTCTGTCGCCCAGGCTGGAGTGCAGTGGTGTGATCTCGGCTCACTGCAACCTCTGCCTCCCAGGTTCAAGTTATTCTCCTGCCTCAGCCTCCCAAGTAGCTGGGACTACAGGCGCATGCCACCACACCCAGCTAAATTTTTTTTGTATTTTTAGTAGAGATGGGGTTTTGCTGTGTTAGCCAGGATGGTCTCCATCTCCTAACCTTGTGATCCGCCCATCTTGGCCTCCCAAGGTGCTGGGATTACAGGCGTGAGCCACCGCGCCTGGCCCAGCCTAACTTCTTTTTAAACACTTCCTGTTTATCATTCTCAGGTGCCACTTCCCCCCTGTTCCCCATTCGCTAGCTGACTAAATATATCCAGTTTCTTCCAAATCCCTCACAGTAAAAAGTGTATGAAACAGATGAGGACAGAAAGGATGCACAGTAATTATGAAGACAGAAGAGAACCCATTCATAAAACTGCTATGCCCAAGGTTGCATACTTCAAAAATGCTGGATTGGCAACACTACGTTGCAAAATGCTTCTAATATGCTTTTCAAAGGAATCTGGGGTTTCAGCCAGAACACGGAGAGGAGACTCTGCCACTTCAACATCTTCTCGAGTACAAAGAAGGGGAGGAGACGCTGGATGGACTGTACTTCTGCAAAATAGAGAAGTAAATTGAATTCTACCATGGAGCGATTTACTGTATTACAGGAAAGCAGAAACCACATTAATCCAGAACTTTCAGAATATAAAATAAGGTGTTACTTTTGTAAAAGTGCCAGAATGCATGTTTGCCACCTAGAAAAGGTCACTTTGGGAAGCTACACCCTTATTCTTCCAATGCCCCTAATTTGTCAAAGCATTTCTGACTGCCATTTCTGGTTCTTTTCTAAAAGATTAAGGCAGCACAAACACCTAGCATGCATTCTTGGCAAAGGACTTGAGAGCCAGTTTATAAGCCAGAGCCATAACCATAAATTACTTGTTAGGTTTAGAGTTGATCAAAACCAGTATTAAGCCAGGAAACTGCTGTGTATACCACATTGGTTCTATATAATTTGATTTCTAAAAACTATTCACTCAAGTGCAAATACTCAAACTTCAGAAAGAGCTTAAAAGATCTCACAAACTTTAGCAGCATGGCAACTGATTTACTCTGAAGGCAACAATTCTAATGTGAATGTTTGGTTGGACATGGTGGCTCACGCCTGTAATCCCAGCATTTTGGGAGGCTGAGGCAGGTGGACCACTTGAGGTCAGGCATTCGAGACCAGCCTGGCCAACGTGGTAAAACCCTGTCTCTACTAAAAATATAAAAATTAGCTGGGCGTGGTGGCACACATCTGTAATCTCAGCTACTTGGGTGGCTGAGGCATGAGAATCGCTTGAACCCAGGAGGCGGAGGTTGCAGTGAGCTGAGAACACATCACTGCACTCTAGCCTGGGTGACAGGGTGAGACCCTGTCTCAAAAAAAAAAAAAGAAAAAAAAAAGTGAAAGTTCGTCAAATAGCATTACTTTATAGACAACTTGTATTTCAGGGAGCTAGCAGAAATATGATCTGAAAGTATCCAGACAATTGGCTGGGCGCAGTGGCTCACACCTGTAATTCCAGCACTTCGAGAGGCCAAGGTGGGTGGATCACCCGAGGTCAGGAGTTCAAGACCAGCCTGGCCAACACGGCAAACCCTCATCTCTACTAAAAATATAAAAATTAGCTGGGTGTGGTGTGCGCCTGTAATCCCAGCTCCTAGGGAGGCTGAGGCAGGAGAATCGCTTGAACCCAGGAGGCACAGGTTGCAGTGAGCTGAGATCATGCCACTGTACTCTAGCTTGGGCAACAGAGCAAGACTCCATCTCAAAAAAAAAAAAAAAAAAAGTATCCAGACAATTAATGTTTATTTTTTCTCTTTGGGATTTATATTTATTCTGAAGTAAGCCAGTGTGACTAGGTTTTATTTTACTAAATGTACTGTGGGTGTTTAGGGGTGGGGGTGGTGTCTAGTGTTTGAAGCTCCAGTGACTTTTGTTTTTGGTACTCATATTCCTGCATTTATATAGCTCAGAATGATCTTCCAAGGCTGTTGGAAAAGGCAGACAGTGATTACAGCTTACTTGTCGGACTTCCTTAAAGGAGAAGGACTAAGAGTTCAGCTTTTTTTTTTTTTTTTTTAAAGACACAGGGTCTTGCTCTCACCCAGGCTGGAGTGCAGTGGCATGATCATGGTTCACTGCAGCCTAAAACTCCTGGGCTTAAGCAATCCTCTCACCTGAGTAGCTAGGACTACAGGTGTGCACCACCATGCCTGGCTAATTTTTTTGTTTTTTGTAGAGATGGGGGTCTCACTATTTTGCCCAGGTTGGTCTCGAACTCAGGGCCTCCCAAAGCATTGGGATTACAGGTGTGAACCACAACTGCACCCAGCCTGAGTTCAGCTTTATTCCAGTTTACATATTCTACAATGTCCCTCAGGCTGGCAGAGATGGAGAAATTAAAGAGTATGAGTATGGACTTCTGAGTCAATGAGATCTGCATCTGTATCCCAACTCTATTTTGTTACCTGTGATTTTAGCATTTACTAACCTCTTGATCCCTGCTTCTACTCTTATAAAATGGAAATGACAGAACTGTCCTTACAGGGCTGCCCTGATGATTCCAGGAGGCAGTACAGGCACATGGCTTACTTCTGAGCTTGGCACATGGTCACAGCTTGAGGATTATTACTCATATTGATAATGGAATTTGGTATTCAATTTTAGTATTTTTTCCCCACACTCTGAAGAAAAGCTCCTGACTCTCAGCGAGGTGCAGGGGATACCAGAAACCATGCCTAAAATGAAACCTTACAGAGATGGCAGGAACAGAAATATCTATCCTTCCAACCCTCAAGTCAGAAGCCAAAGCATAAACCACACTTTTGTATAGCTTCAAGTTGGTTACTGAGTGCATTTTCTCAACTGCAGAATTAGTGAGAGCTATGCGGAGAATAGAAAATGGACGTACAGTAAAGGCCTGATGAGGCATTCATAGGTACTGGTGACGCAGAGCATCGTGGGGCCCAGAATGTCAGGGACAATCCAAAATCCTCGAATTGGAGCCGGATGCCTGGAAAAACACAGTCATAGTTAAGTTACAAAGCAGCAAATGCAATGGAACCAAGAACAAAGACATGACAGGTCATGGCCTTCTCAGGTCTGGGCTGACAGTTGCCTGGGACATCCTGTCAGTACCATAACCTCAAAAGTGGTGGCCTGGAAACCTTTCATACAGCCCTACACTAAAGTCTAGAGCCCATGTCACTAAGTCACCCAGGAATCCCTAACTGTAGAGTGGTGCTGACTGTAATCTCAAAAGTTACACGTTACACTGAAGATCTGTCTGTCTCTCCAACTTGCACATAAGCCCCAGCTATCTAGCCCACTTCTAACAAATTAAGTGCTTACAAACTGTTGAATGAACAGAGCTGCCGAGACTGTCTCAATGAGGCCTGACGTCAATGTCACAGGAAATCATTTAGCATGCACAGCCTGCATCTCTCTCTCAATCTTCCTTCCCACTTCAGTGAAGACACTGGAAACTGAGACCTCAGAGGGGAACTGTCAATCTGCCAACATGCTCTCCTAGCGGCTCCTACGCCCATCCCACCTGCATGCCTACAACACGCAACTGCCCCTGAATGCGGATGCCGCCTCCGCTCACACCTTCTGAAAATTGTACCATTAACTGTGTCGTTTCAGAGTCTCCCTATTATCTACTTCCCCTCAGCTTGCAAACTCATGTCTCTTCCATTTCAAATACTCCCATTTCAATATAATGTCCAGTTCCCCTTAACTGATTCTTTCTCTCCATCCCTTTAGAACCAGCAGTCGACACACTAGTTCCCCTTCCATAGCTCCCATTTACTTTTTTGGCATCTAGAAGGTTGTAAACTTTTACTTTTTGTTATCAGTGTGAAATCTACACATTACTGGGCTATATACTATGTAATCAGTATCCAGGTCAAGAATCAGGACACTGCAGGGGGCTTCAGGACTCCCATGTGACTTTCCCTGGTCATAGCCTTTCACTCCCCAGAGAAGTAGCTGCTACTCTGACATTCATAATACCGCGTCTTTGCTTTGCTTTACAGTTTTCCTATGTATTCATTCCTAGGCAGGAATGTTTAATTTTACCTGTTTCTGAAATTGATATAAATAGGATTTTGGGGTTTTTTGGAGACAGGGTCTCACTCTGTTGCCCAAGGCTGGAGTGCAGTGGTGCGATCACAACTCACTGCAGCCTTGACCTCATGGGCTCAAACAATCCTTCCACCTCAGCCTCCTGAGTAGCTGGGACCACAGGTACATGCTACCACACTGGCTAATTTTGTTTGTTTGTTTGTTTGAGATGTAGTCTCACTCTGTTGCCCAGGTTGGAGTGCAGTGGTGCAATCTTGGCTCACTGCAACCTCCACCTCCCAGGTTCAAGTGATTCTCCTGCCTCAGCCTCCTGAGTAGCTGGGATTACAGGTGCCCGTCACTACACCCAGCTAATTTTTTTTGTTTGTATTTTTAGTAGAGATGGGGTTTCAACATGTTGACCAGGCTGGTCTCGAACTCCTGACCTAGTGATTTGCCTGCCTCGGCCTCCCAAAGTGCTGGGATTACAGGCTTGAGCCACCGTGCCTGGCCTCACCTGGCTAATTTTAAAATTTTTTGCAAAGAAAGGGTCTCGCTATGTTGCCCAGGCTGGTCTCAAACTCCTGGCCTCAAGTGATCCTCCTGTCTCACCCCATCAAAGTGCTGGGATTATAGGTGTAAGCTACCACGCCCAGCCTACATGGGATTTTATTATTTTCCCTGTTCACTTTTTTTTTTTTTTTTTTGAGATGGAGTCTCATTCTGTCACCCAGACTGGAATGCAGTGGTGTGATCTCGGCTCACTGCAACCTCTGCTGCCCGGGTTCAAGCAATTCTCCTGCCTCAGCCTCCAGAGTAGCTGCGATTGCAGGCACCTGCCACCGTGCCCAGCTAATTTGTGTAGTTTTTAGTAGAGACTGGGTTTCACCATCTTGGCCATCTTGAACTCCTGACCTTGTGATCCACCTGCTTCGGCCTCCCAAAGTGCTGGGATTATAGGCGCAAGCCACCGTGCCTGGCCTCACTGTTCACTTTTCAGGCTGGTACAGTTTGCTATCCTTCTTGTGCCCCACCAAGCGTTTTCCCTGTGGTCCTCTGTATTGCCAAACCTAGACTATGTCTATTTCTTAGTGTATGCTATTTGTCTCATGTTTGTGTATACTCGATGTCTGAATGCTTAGAAGACATCCAGTAATTGATGAACAGAATAAAGGGAGGTATCTAGAATACCTTCCAGGTTTCTACTGGGGATAACTGGGCTGATATGGCACCCTTCCGAAAAATGGGACGTAGGAGAGAGACTTTTGGGGAGACAGAAGATGAGTTAAGGGGACATCTGGAGTTTTATGTTCCTATAGGATATCTGAGTGGAGGAGCCCAGTAGGCATCTGGATATGTGAATCTGGAGTTCAGAGTGGTCTGGGCTGGGGCGATATGGATGTGGAAACTGTCAGCACTGAAGCCATGATTATGGCAAAAGGTACTCAGGAAAGGACCTAGAAAGAATAGAGAAGACCTGAGGAAAGAGTTGTGAGCATCACTTGTAAGCAGTAAGTCGAGGCAGAGGAACCAGCCTGAGAAGGAAACTTGAGAAAAGGACTGCTGGAGGGACTGAAGGAGAACCTGGAGGGACAGACGTCCAGGATGCCAAGAAGAGTGTGTTTCAAAGAGGAGACACAGGCAACCTCATCAAATAAACACAGCAATGCAGTGAAGGGCGGGCAGACTCTGCTCTCATGAAACATATACATCCCAGTAGTGGTGACAAGCATTAAAAAAATGCAAATATAAATAGTATAATACGTGCTACAAGGGATAAGAGAATAGGAGGGCCCTAAGTTAGACTGGGCAGTCAAGGGTGTTCTCTGTGAAGAAGTGACATTCAGATGAGAAAGAAGGGTACGAGTTAGCCAAGACATGACAGCAAGCTGGGGCTGGGGCTGGGGAAGGACCTTCCAGTCAGGAAACAGTATGTGGAGTGGCCCTGGAGCAGGAGAAAGCTTCTGATGAGCAGGACACTCTTAGGGGAGAAGTATCATGTCTGCAACTTTCAAATGATTCAGCAGTGAATACTGTGGACGTGAGTGTAATGGATACGCACGTATCTGAACTGCTGAAATGAACAATTGTTTTCTGATATACAAGGGAGGGAGAATCCTTACCTGCAGGGCAATGGCTTCGTACAAAGGATGTGTTCAACAAAGCATTTCTGTTCTGTAGAGAGTTCCTGTAAACTATCCTTATCTTCTTCATCTACCACAGAAGACATTATATAGATGAAATGACGCTTAGACAAGTCTCAAATTAAAACGCTCATGATATTGGGTTAAATGCAATTAAGTTCTTGTCTGGAAACACTGCTTCTCAAATACTATGCTTTTCTGACACAGGCATGTGCTTTCCCAGGGGGTCTAGATTTCCGCCCCAAGAAGCAAAGTAGGATTTTCCTTGGTAATGTCTCTAAATGCAAAAATGTTTCACTAAGAAGAGTGAGATCATTCTCTTCCAGGCTGTTCCTTACCCACACTGATTTTATTTCCATATAGGTTGAGTACCCTTTATCCAAAATGCTTGGGATCAGAAGTGTTTCAGATTTCATATATATATATTTTTTATTTTGGAATATGTGCATTATACTTAGTAGTTGAACATCTCTTACCTGAAAATCTAAAATCCTAAATGCTCCAATGAGCATTTCTGTTGAGTGTCATGACAGCACTCAAAAACTTTTGTAGCTCACTCAGGTTCAAGGATGGAAAAAAGAGTTTTGGATTTCAAATTTTCAGAGTAGGGTTACTCAATCTGTAACAGGTTTTTTTTTTTTTTTTTTTAATGGAATCTCCCTCTGTTGCCCAGGCTGGAGTGCAGCAGCCCAATCTCTGCTCAATGCAACCTCTGCCTTCTGGGTTCAAGTGATTCTCCTGCCTCAGCCTCCTGAGTAGCTGGGACTACAGGTGGATGCCACCACGCCCGGGTTTAAGTAGTAGACAGGGTTTCACCATGTTGGCCAGACTGGTCTCGAACTCTTGAACTCAGATGATCTACCTGCCTGCCTCAGCCTCCCAAAGTGCTGGGATTACAGGTATGAGCCACCACACCTGGCCTGTAACAGCTTTTTGAAATGTAATTCACAGTACCATACAAGTCATCCATTTAAAGTATACCCATTGAAGTATACAATTCAGTAAGTTTCTAGTGTAAGAACTGTATGCCTGGCTGGGTGCAGTGGCTCATGCCTGTAATCCCCAGCACTTTGGGAGGCCGAGGTGCATGGATCACCTGAGGTCAGGAGTTCAAGACCAGCCTGGCCAACATGGCAAGACACTGTCTCTACCAAAAACACAAAAAATTAGCTGGACATGGCGGGCACCTGTAGTCCCAGCTACTCGGGAGGCTGAGGCAGGAGAATCGCTTCAACCCAGGAGGCGGAGGTTGCGGTGAGCCGAGAGTGCACTCTTGCACCACACCCTGGGCAAAAAGGTGAACTCCTTTTTTTTTTTTGTTATGAGACGGAGCCTTGCCCTCTGTCACCCAGGCTTGGAGTGCAGTGGGCCGATCTCAGCTCACTGCAAGCTCCGCCCCGGGTGAACGCATTCTCCTGCCTCAGCCTCCCGAGTAGCTGGGACTACAAGGCGCCCGCCCACGCCCGCTAAGTGTTTTGTATTTTTTAGGAGACGGGGTGTCACCGTGTTCGCCAGGATGGCCTCCCGATCTCCTGACCTGTGAGCCGCCGCCTCGGCCCATCCAAAAGTGGCTGGGATTACAGGCTGGAGCCACCTGCCCGGCGAACTCCTTCTCAAAAGAAAAAACAAAAAACAAACAAAAAAATTGTATACGTATCATAACAATTTGGAATATTTTCATTTTCCCAAAAGAAATCCACATAACCATTAGCAATCACTCCTCAGTTTCTATCAAACTTTCCAGACCTAGGCAACTAATCTACTTTCTGTCTCTGTAGATCTGTCTATTCTGGACATCTCATATAAACAGCCATACAGTTATTTGTGACTGGCTTCTTTCACTTAGCATCTGTTCACAGTTCATCCATATTGTAGCATGTATCAGTACTTCATTCCTTTTTATTGTTGAATAATATTCTGTTGTATAGACACACCACATTTTATCTATCCATTCATCAGCTTATGGACACTTGGGTATATGGCTTTTGGGCTACGATGAATAATGCTGCTATGAACACTCATGTACCAGTATTTGTGTGGATACAGGTCTTCATTTCTCTTGGAAATATACTCAGGACTGGAACTATCAGGTATGTGGTAAATGAACAATCATTTGAGGAACTGCCAGATTGTTTTCCAAAGTGACTGTACCATTTTACATTTCTATAAGCACTGTATAAAGGTCCTCATTTTTTTCTACATCCTCAACACGTGTTAATGTCCATCTTTTTCATTTTAGCTATACTAGTAGATATGACATGATACCTCATTGTGGTTTTGTGGTATCTTATTTCCATAATGACTAATGATGTTGTATATCTTTTTACAGATATGCTATTTGCCCAACTGTATTGAATGCTAAGGGTTCTTTATATTGTTCTCCATACGAGTCCATTATCACACAAATATTTTCTCCCATTTTGTGGGCTGTTTTCCCTTTTCTAATAGTATCCTTGAAGGAAAAAAAGTTTTAAATTTTGATGGCCGGGTGCGGTGGATCACACCTGTAATCCTAGCACTTTGGGAGGCTGAGGCAGGTGGATCATTTGAGCCCATGAGTTTGAGACCAGCCTGGGCAACATGGTGAAACCCCATCTCTACAAAAGACACAAAAATTAGCCAGGCATGGTGGCTTACTCTTTTAGTCCCAGATACTTTGGGGGCTGAGGCAGGAGCATTGCTTGAGCCCAGGAGTTCGAGACTGCAGCAACCTATGACTGCACCACTGCACTCCCACCTAGACACCGTGTTAGCCAGGATGGTCTCGATCTCCTGACCTTGTCATCGGCCCACCTTGGCCTCCCAAAGTGCTGGGATTACAGGCGTGAGCCACCGCGTCCGGCCTTTTTTTTTTTTTTAAAGCAAATTCTTCCAGACCCTGATTGAGTCAGTTTTGGTATTTTCTTTCTTGAAATTTGTCCATTCCATCTAGATTATGTAATGGCATACATTTTGTTCATAATATTCCCTTATAATCTTTTATTTCTGTAAGTTCAATATTAATATCCCTGCTTTTATTCCTGATTATAGTTAGTCTAGCTAAAGGCTTGTCAAATGTCGTTGATCTTTTCAAAGAACCTTTCGGTTTCACTGATTTTCTCTATCATTTTTCTATTCCAAACTACTTTTCTGAAATTTATTAAATCTATTTTTCCTCTGAAATCTATTAAAAGTGCAGAGAGTTAGTAAACTCACCTGATCCAAGAAATTTGTGAAGTTTATGAATCCAAGTTAGCCCAACACTATGTACACCAGCTTCATGAGTACAGTGGTATCTTGAAGGACACTTGGGATCTGCAAATGGAATGATTAATGATACAAAAGCAGCCATTGGATAACTAAAAAAATTTACCTCAAATTTGTTGGCTACCCCACAGTAGCCTACGAACGCATTTGTTGATGGAAGGTTTTATAAAAGGCTTTCCTATTGTTAGGGGTTTTGAAATTTTAAAATTTGAATTCAAATTTCGAATGTATTTAAGTACAGATATACCTCAGAGATACTGTGGGTTTGGTTCCAGACCATTGCAATAAAGTGAATATAGAAATAAAGTGAGTCACACAAATCATTTGGTCTCCCAGTACATATGAAAGTTGTGTTTACACTATGCAGAAGGTTATGTTTATACTAGTAGGTACGCAACAGCATTACGTCCAAAAATATGTACACACCTTAACCATTTTTTATTGCTAAAAAATGCTGACGCAGAGACACAGTGAGCACATGCTGTGTGAAAATGGTGCTGATAGCCTTGCTTGATGCAGGGCTGCTGCAGCTTTCATTTGTTTAATAATAAAAAAAAAAAGCACTATCTGTGAACCACAGTAAAATGAGGAGGTATGCCTGTATTCTGAAAAGTATAAAAAATGGCTGGGCACAGTGGCTCACGTCTGTAATCCCAGAACTTTGGGAGGCTGAGGTGGGTGGATCATGAAGTCAGGAGTTCGAGACCAGCCTGACCAACATGGTGAAAACCCGTCTCTACTAAAAATACAAAAATTAGCCAGGTGTGGTGGCAGCCGCCTGTAATTCCAGCTACTCAGGAGGCTGAGGCAGGAGAATTACTTGAACCCAGGAGGCAGAAGTTGCAGTGAGTGAGCCGAGATTGCACCACTGCAATCCAGACAGAGTAAAACTCCATCTCAAAAAATAAAAAAATAAAAAAACGCAATCTGAATGTTATTTTCTAAATATGAACACAAGAGGTTCACCAAAACATAAATACTTGCTGTCAAGTAACTCGTTTGTGCTTTTCTCTGTGCATTTATTTAGTTCTTCAAAAGAAAATGGTGGTTAAAATGGCAGCTCTGTAGAAAACCTATGCTTGTATACATCGACTTAAATAAAATTGTTGAAGCAAATGCACTCCTACAGCATAGGTATCACAAAAGACTTTAACACAACGGCTCAGGGAACAGTTCTATCAGGGTACTAAGGTGTGAAATAAGAAGTGAAGTTTAGTATGTCTTCATAATGTTGACTGACAGTTTTAAAGGTTATTTTCAGTTTGGGATGCTCTTTTTGTTTGACAATCATTTATAACTAAAAAGTATGAGTAGTTGTTACACAATTTTAATTAACTGGTTTTGAAACAAATATTTCTGTACCTCCTTTGAGCCCCAGTATCAGTGAGACAATCCTGAGACTAAAAGATAAGCTATTGAATACTTATTATTATGTATATTTATCTCTGTAACTCAAGATTTTTATTATTAATATTAATAATGTTACTGGCCGGGTGTGGTGGCTCACGCCTGTAATCCCAGCCCTTTGGGAGGCTGAGGTGGGCGGATCGCCTAAGGTCAGGAGTTCAAGGCCAGCCTGACCAACATGGAGAAACCTCGTCTCTATTAAAAATACAAAATTAGCCAGGCGTGGTGGCTCACACCTGCAATCCCAGCTACTCGGGAGGCTGAGGCAGGAGAATTGCTCAAACCCGGGAGGTGGAGGTTGCGGTGAGCTAAGATTGCGCCACTGCACTGCAGCCTGGGCAACAAGAGTGAAACTCCGTCTCAAAAAACAAACAAACAAAATAATAATGTTAGTAAAGTAAAAACAAAATACAGAGATAAGGTATATATTGAAGCTGATAAAATGGCACAATAACCCATAAAACCCCTAGATTAAATTTTCCTTTAACAGTCTCACTTTGTGATTAGTGACTTTATCATATATTAATGTTCTAAAGCTGATACATTATTTTTCTGTCTTATATATTGAGGTTCCATAAAACATCTTAGAAAACAGCATTCTGCTATAAAAAGTTTAAAAAACCTTCGTCTATGGGAATCATCTATCTGTTTGAATAATTAAAGTACTGAAAATTTTCTTTTCATTTGCCCGTATTTTAAGACTTAAGGCTCAAATCATCTCATCAAATCTAACATTGTTAAAATGACTTTTCAAAACCTGTAGTGCTAACATCAACAGAAAAATCTTAATACTGGGGTGTAAAACAAATTGATTACTAAAAAGAGCCAACATTTAGTTAACAGGAAATCTGTTAGACACCATCACTTTGTCACTAAGAAATCTGGTGTGCCTCAGTGATTATAATATGCCTTGTTCAGCACAATTATGAACAAGTCAAAAATTTCTTAGTTTCACATATGAAAATGTTACTCTCATTAGAAGAACCAAGAAAAGGCTGGGCATGGTGGCTTATGCCTAAAATCCCAGCACTGCGGGAAGTCAAGGTGGACAGATAAGGAGTTCGAGACCAGCCTGACCACCATGGTGAAACCCCATCTGTACTAAAAATACAAAAATTAGCCAGGCGTGGTGGCGCATTCCTGTAATCCCAGCTACTTGGGAGGCTGAGGCGGGAGAATCGCTTGAACCTGGGGGGCAGAGGTTGAAGTGAGCCGAGATCGTGCCATTGCACTCCAGCTTGGGCAACAGGAGCAAAACTCCATCTCGAAAACAAACAAACAAACAAACAAACAAAAACAAAAACCCAAGAACAAAATGTCTACATTTACACTTAAGATTTCCCAAAGATATATGTATCTATATGAGGAAGCCAATTAGTTTCTGTCATTTTACTTCATTTGGTCTGTTTCCTCATCTATAAAATTCTTAGACAACAGAAATCTCAAAATACCTTAATTAGACAAACCCAATGTACGCTCTTTGCTGGTTTGTTATGTAAGGAATTCTACCCCCTTAAATATTTTGGCTATACTTTAGTATAGAGTTGAGGCCAAAACTAGGCAAACTGGCTAACGAGAACTGTAAGGAGAGTAGGTCAAATTGCTACAAGATTGAAATCCTCCTATGTTGCAGTGAATGACATGATTTCATTCTTTTTTAAAGCCAAATAGGGCTAGGCATGGTGGTTCACACCTGTGGACCAGCACTTTGAGAGGCCGAGGTGGGAGGATCACTTGAGCTCAGGAGTTTGAGCTTGGATGACATGGCAAAATCCCATATCTACCAAAAATACAAAAATTAGGCGTGTAGTCCCAGCTACTTCAGAGGCTGAGGTGGGAGGATTGTTCGAGCCTGGGGTGTGAAGGTTGCAGTGAGCCAAGATCACACCACTGTACTCCAGCCTAGGTGACAGTGAGATCATTATCATACATACACACACACACACACACACACACACAAAAGCCAAATGGTATTCCACTGTGTATATACACCACATTTTAAAAATCCATTTGGGGCCGGGCGCGTGGTGGCTCACAGCTGTTATCCCAGCACTTTTGGAAGGCTGAGGCAGGCGGACTGCTTGAGGCCAGGAGTTTGAGACCAGCCTGGCCAACATGGTGAAACCCCACCTCTACTAAAAATACAAAAATTGTCAGGCGTGGTGGCTCACGCCTGGAATCCCAGCACTTTGGGAGGTTGAGGTGGGTGGATCACGAGGTCAGGAGTTCGACACCAGCCTGGCCAATATGATGAGACCCTGTCTCCATTAAAAATACAAAAATTAGCAGGGCGTGATGGCACGCGCCTGTAGTCCCAGCTACTAGGGAGGCTGAGGCAGAAGAATCGCTTGAACCCAGGAGGCAGAGGTTCCAGTGAGCCGAGATCGCGCTATTGCACTTCAGCCTGGGCAACAGAGCGAGACTCCGTCTCAAAATAAATGAATAAATAAAATAAAAATAAAAATACAAAAATTAGCCAGGCATGGTGGTGGATACCTGTAATCCAGCTACTTGGGAGGCTGAGCCAAAATAATCGCTTGAACCTGGGAGGTGGAGGTTGCAGTGAGTCGAGATTGCGCCACTAAACTCCAGCCTGGCTGATAGAGCCAGACACCGTCTCAACAACAACAACAACAACAAAAATCCATTTGGTCTGTTGATGGACACAGGTTGATTCAACATCTTAGCTATTGTGAATAACACTGCAACGGGCATGGCAGTGCAGGTATCTCTTCAACCTATTATTTCCTTCCCTTTTGACATATCCAGTAGTGGAACTACTGAATAATATGGTAGTTCTACTTTTGATAGGACCAGGAAAAATTCACTATTAGGAATCTGGGTGATCTGGACCAAAGACCACTATTTTAAAACTTGGAAATTTGCTCAGTCTGCCTTAGACAAAAAGTGTATTATAGTGACTAAAAGGCTAAAAAAACCCAGTCAACTTTTTAAAGGCTGGAACCACAGAACAAACACATGACATAGGAACAGTCTATGATAGTCTTAGTATAAAAATCATGGGAAGAAAGCACTACATTTATTGAAGAGCTTACCTCTATGAAGTTTGATTGGACAAGAAAAGTCAGAATCAAAAGGGTCATCCTCTCCAGATGCCAGTTTCAAAGCAAGCTCCAACTCAACACATTCAAACACATACAGAGAAGGAATGAGGTCAATCCTGGAATCCCAGGACTTTTCTGACTGTAAAAAAAAAAAGTGTTGTAATTTTGATCTTGCATGTTAATTTGAAAATGTACACAATTAAAAACAGGCAAAAAGCTGGGTCAGGGCCAGGTGCGATTGTTAATGCCTGTAATCCCAGCACTTTGGGAGGCCAAGGTGGGTGGGTGGATCATCTGAGGTCAGGAGTTCGAGACCAGCCTGGCCAACATAGTGAAACCCTGTCTCTACTAAAAATAAAAATTAGCCGGGCATGGTGGTGGGTGCCTGTAATCCCAGCTACTCGGGAGGCTGAGGCAAGAGAATCGCTTGAACCTGGGAAGCAGAGGTGGCAGTGAGCTGAGATCATGCCACTGCACTCCAGCCTGGGCACCAAGAGCAAAACTCCGCCTCAGAAAAAAAAAAAAAAGAAGCTGGGTCAAACAGCGCTTTCAAATTCTTAATTCCACCTCTATCCTAACAGTGCACCGCACTGTTATTCTGAAGAGAAAACATCTCTCTTCCTTTAAGAAGATGTTTGTGAAAAAAGCCGATTCAGTGATTCCAAGGCTCTTTGTATCTGTCCCTGAAGATTGCAATATAGAGATCAGAAAGTAACACGCAGATGGGTGGACCAAGTAAGTTGGGCAACCTTCTAACTTCTTTCCACTTAGATTGCTAAGAGTGCCTCAGCTACTTTTTTAACTGTTTAATTTCCAAAATATCAGAAGTTCCATAAATAAGTTAAAATTCCTTCTCATATATTAAGCATTCATATTGGGTCAGGAAGTGTGCCAGGTATCGAAGATACAAACACCCACAGCAGCCTGCACTTACTGCTTGGTCATCTTCTTCTTCCCCTTCTAGCACGACACAGTGATACAGCATTCCTGATTCAGTGGCGATCACTAAGATATTGGGGACACAGGGTAAGCAGAGGATAGCACAAGCATCATAACCATAGTTATCTTCAGCCGCGGGATGCATGGGCAACGGACCCAACAGCTTTCCAATATTTCCAGGGCTAAAGAAGGAGTAAAAACATATTTGGGAAATGTTGACAATAAGCTTGCTCACCCCATAAAACCATTCTTTGACTTTGTTTTCCTCCAGCTATCATACCCTCATTATAAATATAGGATATTCCCAATACTCCACCTTCTCGCTTTCCCACTCAGATTCTACCGCTCTGGTGTTTCTCAACCAGAGACAATTTTGCCCTAGAGGACAATGGCAATGTCTGAAGACATTTTGGCTTGTCACAACTGGTTGTCACAATGTGCGGGGAGGTATTGGCATCTAGTGGTTAGAGGCTAGAGGCTGCTAAACACTCCCCTACAGCACAGCACCTCTAAAACAATAATTCAGACCAAAATGTCAATAGTACAGAGGCTGGAAACCCTTGCCCTAAATTTGCTATGGTTTATGCTTTCACCACTCCACTGAAGCCACTGTGGCAAAGGTCACCTGCAAGATTTGCTAAATCCAAAAGGCACTTAACCTTCTGCTGCATTTATCACTGGTTAACAATTACTGCTACTCAATATCCTTAACAGCTATAACAATTCTTTCTTGTAGTTCTCTCTTCCTACCTCTTTAAAGACAATTTTCTAATGTCCTTTTCTAATTTCTTTCTCTTAAATATCGGTATTCTCCAGGATTCTGTTGTATGCTTTGACTTTTTTCAAAACACACACTTAAATGAGAGCTTATTAAACTATGCCTCGTTTTAACTACCATCTATATTCCAAGACTACCAAATCCTTTCTTCTGAAATGTAGCTTCTCTTCAAGGCTTTGGATCCCTATACTAAATCTGATTTGACAAATACTTATTATTGAGTGCCAGATGATTCTCCCAGTGAATGACTGTTTAGTTGATGAGGCAGACATTTAACCAGAATTAGTATACCATGTGATAAGTGCAAGAACAGAAGGATTTATGGTGTACAAAGGAATGACAAAAAGATACAAAGATAATGAAGAAAGCTATCAAAAACAAGTAAGAAAAATAGAGAAAGAATGATTTCTGGGAAGGGGTTTGTTGAGCAGCTTACGCAAAGTCCTGGAAGCATGAAAGACAAGGAACTAAGAAGAAGAAAACTTATTTAGTATGATAGGAGGCAAAGTACAAGGTCTAAGGCAATGGCAAAACAGCTAGACAGACATCCAGGACTGGCTTATGAAGTACATCATCTTGGATGCCATGTTAAACTATTCAGTCTGCTGGGTAACAGTATATCACTAGAGGTTTAAATCAAGTAATGGAGCTTCACTTTACAAATCAATCTGGTATTAGGGAGGAAGACATGGAAGGGTCCAAAATGGGATCTGGGGAAACTATTTAAGAAAATAACCTAGGCAGATGATGAAGTTCTGAAGCACGGACAACGGAATGGAGAGAAGGGTGTATAACCAGGGGCACCCAATCTTTTGGCTTCCCTGGGTCACACTGGAAATTGTTTTGGGCCACACAGAAAATACACTAACAATAGGTGATGAGCTTTTTTTAAAAAAAAAAAAAAGAAAGAAAAGAAAATCGCAAACAAATCTCATGATGTTCTAAGAAAGTTTACGAAGTGTTGGGCTGCATTCAAGGCTGTCCTGGGTTGTGCACAGTCCATGAGTTGGACAAGCTTGGTGTATACTTCCAAAAAATTTTAATCACAAAATCCACAGAAATTTGGGACTGATCAAATGTAAGGATGAAGATAACTTTTGGGTTTTGGGCTAAGGTTACTAGGCAGATCATGGTTTGGACAAATGAGGGCTCAGCAGTAAGAGGAGAAGGGGTAAGGGAAGGTACTAACGTTACCACAAAATCCTCCTGAGTTCATGTGTGAAAGGCAGAGAACATTTCTGCAAGGCGAATGCACTCAATAGTGAATCCTCACCATTCTGTAACCTGTCAAGCTCTTTCATCTTTCTTATCTTTATGGTTTTGCATACTTTCTTCTCTCTTCTGTACCCACTTCCGACTGTCTAGTGAATCCTTCAAGTCCAAGTTTTTGTCATAGCATTTCCTCAAAGTCTTCCAACATCAGCAGGTCTACTCATTTACTCCATCACACTCCTGAAGAACCCGGTGACGCCCTGAGCACATGACACTGTACTATAGTTACTGGTTTAGCTGTATGCCCTTCTGATAGATAAGGAACCACATGGTAGGAATGTTGCCTTCAATCTTGTATTTCCATCTTCTGCCACACAGTGGACCCTGAATAAGTATGTTAAGTCGATTTATAAGCAAATAAACTCTAATGCTCAGTCCTTAGCCTTATGCCTCTGCAGTTTTCCCTCAAATTCTTAGCCTGTATAGACTCTCTCACCATGACAGATGATTCTCATACCTCTATTTTAATTCTTCTTGTCTCTCATCATCCTGTATTTCCAACTGTCCATGGAATATTTCCATTTTATTGGTCCAATACTATCTTACAGTGATTTACTTAAAAATAAAGCTTCTCTCCCAATTAGCTGCCTTTACTGACCTGTTTCTGTTCATGGCATACTCCCTTATCCAAACAGTAACTAAGTCTTATTTATCCTTCCTTTGTTGCTATCTACTGTGTTTAATTTTTCTCTCTGTTCTACTACCACCCAAGTTCAAACTCTCATAAATTATAAGCTCAATTTTGCAAAAGCTTCTTTAAAAGTCTCTGTCCCAGTCCCTTTCCTAACCGATTGTTTTGTCCTTCTGCTCAGAAACCATCACTGGCTTCCTACTACCCTATTCCTACAGAAAAAAAAAATCCACACTCACTCTTTAAAAAGGTATTTTTAATGCCAGCAAATTTTCTCAGGGCAGATACTTCTAGCTTTATCACTTAATGCTCCCTACATGAATCCTCAGCTGTAGCCCAGAATGTCTAATAAATGAAGCTTGAATGACACTTGCACTTGCTTATTTTCAGACTCTACTTTATGCTGCCCTTGACAGAAATGCTTTCATCCTTCCTTGATACTTCATTTAATCCTGAATGAACCCTCTAAGTCACACATGACATCGCTCCTTCTCTACAAAAATTTCCTCAACCTCGCAGTCAGAATGACCTCTCCTTCCTCTGGTTCTGACTGTCTGTGTACCAATACTGTGGTATAGATAGTATTTTTTCATGTGTATGTATCTTTCTCCCCACAACTGGGACATAAATACCAGATTACCACGTCTACGTGGTGCCTTGTTCATATAAGATAAACCATAAGCACTTGTTTGGATAACTAGAATTTGTGAACACAAATCCAGGCCTATCATAAGTGATTATCCAAGAATTCTATAGAACTTACCCAAATAACATGAAGAAATGAGAGACCAAATGATCTGTACTAACCCTTTCTCAAAAAGATGCAAGCCAAGCATCGGAAGGCTGCAACATTTCCACAGACTCAAAAACATGGCTCCCGAGTCCAGCCTCAACGATGTCTACTGGAGCCCAAGCTGAGTTTTCATTTCAGGTGGGTGACCGCCGCAACTCACCTGTGTAACAGACTGATGTATGTCAGGAAAGTCTCTCCATTCTCATATAAGATGTACAGTGGGTATGCCACTACTTCGTCTTTGCCTTTTTGTCCAAATAGGGTCTTTGGGACTGCTGCCAATGGCCCAAAGTCAAATGCCACTGCTGTCTCTCCTAGAGATGCAGTATACGCCCTTCTGGAAAGAGATGTAAAAACCAACTTGTTAAAAACAAAAACAACAACAACTAAAAAAAAATAAACAAAAACCAAAAACACAAAATAATAATAGGAGGTAGGTATATACAGCATTTGTAGGCAATGGATTAAAAAGACAAAAAATGATTACGAAGAAGGTTAACATTTAAACATTCTCAGCTGGGTGCTGTGGCTCATGCCTGTAATCCCAGCAATTTGGGAGGCTGAGGCGGGTGGGTCACCTGAGGTCAGGAGTTCGAGACCAGCCTGGCCAACATGGTGAAACCCCGTCTCTACTAAAAATACAAATATTAGCTGGGCATGGTGGCGCGGCCTGTAATTTCCCAGCTTACTCGGGA